GTCTTTTTTGTTCATACTTTTGATGATATTAAATAATCAGCCCAAATACTTATGTTTACATATATTGCTTTTTTTTTTATTTAAACAACGCATTTTTTTTTGTTTTTATAACTTTCATGATTTTCTGTCGTTTTTACTTTTTTATTTTTAAAATTATTCTGCTGGAGATTGTTAGCAACAAATTATTTTATTGCTGAAGTTTTTGTTTTGTTTTTGTTTTTGTATTTATACTGCTTATCATTCATTGTGCCTGCAAATTTTTGTGTGACGGGGCTCGGTGATAGGACAACCTGTCTTCTTCTTGCTCCGACCAGGATTTTCTTTTATTGTAATTTCTTCTTTGAAATATTTATCAACGGCAAAATAAATAAATAATAATAATAATAATAATAATAAAAATAAAAAAAAAGAAAAAATAGTATTAAGAGACAAATTTAAAATACAATTATTGTTGTAGGTAAATAATAAGTCTAACATATTTTTTGGGGAACCATAGGATATCTGGAAAGTAGGGAACGTGATGTGTTGTGTAAAGAGGCTGTTTGGTAAATTTTCCAAAATTTAGACCACTTCATATTCGGGAAATTAAAATCACCAACGATCAAACAGTCATCATAGGGCTTCCTAATTAAGCTATGAGCTAATTTAAAAGATTCAACAACATAGTTTATTAGATTAGTATCATTTGGTCTATATATACACCCAAGTATGGGTGTATATATAGACCAAGTATGCGTTTATTATTATCTTGTACCTATACCCAAACTTGTTCAAGTGAATTTGTATAGAACTGATTAACTATTTTAGTAACTATTAACATTACTGACTTATTTAACTTTGTGAGAGTTAAATAAGTCAGTAATGTAGATAGCTACACCACCACCTCGACGTCCATCACAGCGATTTTTGCGATATAAATTATACCTATCGATGTTAGAAACTGAGCCATTTTAAAACCATGTTTCGGAGACAGCAATAACATGGTAGTCAAACATTCTAACTATTGCAATTAAATCGTTCATTTTGTTATTAAGAGGTGTTGCATTAGTGTAGCAACAATTAACACTGTAGTTTGTTTCCAGGTAATGTACGTCTTTACCATTGTCTTTTATTTTCGTTGTTAGGAGAGTCAAGGGAGGATAGTGATTCTTAGGCAGTGGTTTGGAGATTTTTGAGCTTAACAACTCCGCTGCTTCGTATACCGTATCTAAAAGGCGATATTTTTAGATTTATATTACTGTTTAACTCATTACGCTTCATTCTTAGTTGGTAGTTTAGATATCGCTCAGCCTCAGTCAGATCTGGGCTTATAAAGATATTTTTGTAATCGTCTGAATTTTTTAATTTTTTCGCTGATGTAAATAATGGGTTTCTTTCAGAAACATCTGACAGTTCGACGATAATTGGTCCTGGTTTAGAGGACATAGACTTAATACGTTTTACAAACTTTGACTTTGCATCAGATGCGATGGTAGTTAATATGTTCTGAACCATTTCCGTATCGTCAATTTGCTAATAACTTTGAACACCATAAATAATTACATTTTTTTCTCGCTTTTTATTTTTGTTGTTGCTTAATGGAGAATGCGTTTATAACTATTAGCTGTTCAAGGTTTTTTTTTTTTGTTTGTTTGCAACTGTGACCCAACTGGATTCAATATTTCTGGTTGTTGTAATAGTTTGTTTAGTAGATTTTTCGACAAGTTGATCTAACTCCAGTTGTTGTTGCTTTATGACTTGCTCTTGTTCGGATATTTTGGCCAACCACTTTGCAGATTCAGCTTCAATAATTTTTTTAATTGCGTTAGCGACTTGTTTTAATGGAGTTGGTATTAAATTAGTCATGGCAAAGGGTTGTTTTTTTTTTATTTTTTTTGTTTTGTTTTTGTTTGTTTTTTTACAATATAGATTTAAATTTAATATGTAAGTGTAATCAGGGCCGGTGCGAGTAGAGTCACGTGGGGGGTGCCGTTACAATTTGCCGACTAAATAAAAAAAAAAAAAAAGGTCCTCGTTTTCCAAAATTTGCCGACTGCCATGATCATGGCAGTTATAGATAATTATAAAATCAAAAATTAAGGTGACTTTATATTTTTAAGAAAAAATATTTATTTATTTATCAATATTTATTTTGTCCCCTTTTAAAAAGATATATATATATCTTTTTAAAACCGAAGCAAACAAACAGATTAAAAATTAAAACACGTGCAACGCAGTTTGATTTTTTAAATTACAAAAAAAAAATGTGTATATATATATGTGTTATATATAACACACACATGTGAAATTACGTTAACTTGATTGAAATTACGTAAACTTGATTGAAATTGAAATTACGTTAACTAAATCAAAGAAACTAATTAGACAAGATTTAAAAGTTTAATATACGTTTACTTAGACTAAATCTAAACGCTTGATATAAGTTAATTAGGCTAGATTTAAACGTAAATTAGATAAAATCTAAACGCTTTATATACTTAAAATAGTCTAAAATAGACGTCTAAAATACGTTTGAATATAGACGTTTTATGGACGTTTGTTCTAAATGTTAATCTGGATTTCATTATAAACGGATAATCGACCAAATCTGAACGTTTTGTCGAAACGTTGTTTTGACATTTAATAGACGTTTGTGTATTTACTGGGTAGTTACTTGGAGTATAATGTTTTTCTTGTGTAAGTGGAGTAACTTCATTCACAAACTGTGCATGAGAAAGTTAGGAGGTAAAGTCCTTTTTTCTTTTTCACGTCATTTTAAAAGGCTGCATCCTTATTGCAACAGGTTGGACAGCAACTAATACAACTTACAATCTCTCAAATAATATCGGGATTATTTAAAAAATAATGCCATAGAGAAGTATAAATTTAAAGATAAATCTAAAGTTAAATTTTAAGATTGATAACATCTTGACTTTTGCTAAGATGTTAGAGGTTAAATTTAATAACGTTTGAAGTTGCACTCAATTGTGGTCAACCGCCTTTATAATTTCGTCTAATAAATGACGTGTTTCGCCCTGTTAATTTTTGTTTTGTTTTGTTTTTGCTTTTGTTTTGTTTGTTAACCTCAAAATGACACAACTATTTCAAACAATATCACAAAACTACTATAGCCATAAAATTTTTACTGCAACATTACTGCATTTAACAACTTAAACACAACACTAATTTAAATTCTTTTGTGCAGCATTATCGGGTATATAAAATGAAAACGTTTGTCCAACTACACATGATACTATTTACCTAAATCTTGAATTATAGATAAATGGCAGAATGTTAAAACCCCAAATAATTGCAATTAAGAAGTATTCACAATTTCGGATTTTTTGACGAGTTAGACTAAAATGCTCATATTTCAAAAAATACACATTTTCAAAAATAAAAAAATAATAATAAAAATATAATAGATTCAGAATTTAGGAGAAGTTTTTATAAAAAATAAATATGTTATTGTATTTTATTTTTTATAGGTTTTAATGATTTTTCCCGAGAAAATACACCCCAGAAAAAATCCCTCTAGGAAAAAATCCCCCCACTCCCTGAAAGAATTCTCGCGCAAAAATATCCCCCTGGAAAAAATCTATGAATTAAGAAAAATATTTTGTTTAATTTATTAATTTCCAGACAAAATTAAAACATCAGTCGATGTTACGGCGCTCCTTGACTGTTCAATCATTTCGATGTATGAAAAACAAAGAACTATAGTTTTGCTTGTAACATATTTTGTTGTAATATAATATGCTTGTAACATAATATGTATGCATAAAATATTTATATTGTAAACAACTATTTTATTGTTATATTGTAATTTTTATGTGTTGCAAAAAAAAAGTTATAACTTTTGGGTGGATATTTTCCGGGGCGATTTTTTCTCTGTGAATTTTTTTCCAAGAATTATTTTGAGGGTAGGTTTTTATCCTGCCATCTTTAAAAATATTTTTTTTTTTGTAAAATAAATGATAATGATACTTTTGTATGATCATATACTTGTTATTTTTATCTAGCAACGTCCCTCGTTAGTTTTTGATCTAGCAACGTCCCTAGTCGTCCTTTAATTATGGTAGGGAGTTTTGTCACGTGGCATTTTTATTTTATCGCTGAAAAAAATATTTTGTTTGTTTTTGAAAAACGATATTATTCGATATTATTGGGGCCAACATATTTAACAGAATTGTTTCCTAATATATCCACTGTGTTATGCGATTGGCATATACTACTCAAGCAGTGGAAGAAGAACCGGAAATAAAAAAGTTTACTGATTTTATTATATAAATTATTAAGTGATTGTAATTATAAAGTTGTTCAACTGTTATGGAGTTTAAATAATAAATAATATTAATAATAAAAATTTTATTATTAATATTACTTATTTGTAATAATATTATTTCCGCCATGTTTCCACATGGCGGAAAGGGGGCATAACCCGCCTCCTTTCCGCCAAATACCAAAATAAAAATTTAATGAAAATTTAACAAAAAATATTTAAAAATGCTTTTTTAAACACATATAAAATAGTATAAAAAACTATTTTATCACGTTACAAGAGTACCCATTTTGTCATGTAAATGGAAGGACTACCCATTCCAACCTAAAAAAAAATACACAGCAGCAAATCTTTTGAAATAAAAAAAAATTAACTATTGTCTTGGCTTTTAGTAAATGATTTATGTTTTGAATTCCATTTATGAACTAAAATAAATCATTTTTAACGATTGACACCACGTGAAGGTAAGCCAGAGCCGTCTATCAAAAAAATTTGTAAGCTACAAAACTTGATGTACCTAATTGCAAACCACAAAACTTGCGGTACACATTTGCAAGCCAATAAACTTTCTGTACCTAATTACAAGCCACAAAACTTGCGGTACCCATTTTTAAGTCACAAAACTTGCTGTACCTATTTCCAAGCCACAAAACTTGCAGAACTTTTTTTTCAAGCAGTTTTACATTATTTCATATTCAAACTAAGAAAATATTAACTCAAAAAGGTGTAACCAAGAAAAAAAGTATTAGAAATTGGCATTGGATCTATACACAGTGAACAAAAAAATAGCTCTTAAACTTTCCAACTGTGGCAGATGTTGATGAAACTGAAAGTAAAAAAAAAACTGTAATCAATAAGAAGAAAATTGAATTTGATATTAATTCTATATTATAGTCATAACGAAAGAAATGACATCGACATCCGTAGCAGGTGTCGATGAAGCTTAATGTAAAAAAGGTGTAGTTAACAGGAAAAAAAACCAGCAATTAATTAATTAATGAGAAAGATTTAGACTTTCCCATCTATACATAAATTAAGAAGTAGTAATTATTAAGCTTACCAACTGTGGAGAATCTAGATGCAACTAATATCACGAAAAGATGCAATAAACAAATAAACAAAAAAAAAGTTGAAAATGGGATTAAATTATTACACTGCTGAAAAAGTATTGACTTTTAAACTTACCGACTGTATCAGGTGTAGATGGAACTAAAAACAAAGTAAATCTTATCCACAAAAAAATGATATTGGCAGTAAATTTTTTACAAGTTAAAAAATAATAGCTTTTAAATTTACTGATCACAGTCGTTTAAGAAATGACTTGAGATAAAAAACATACGAATTAAACCAAAGTATACATCTTTAAATTTCATATTATATAAATGTGAACGAAATTACAATATACAAACTTACCAGTAGAAGGCTGAGTTGATTGGACTAAAATTAACAAGAAAACTGTTAATCAAATAAACAAAACACCTTAAATTTGACAGCAGTAGGTGAATATGTAACAACAATCAAATAAATTCTGCATAATGTGCAACAACTTTATTGATAAAGTACATAATGAAAACATAATTACACAAGTAAACATTAGGAAAGGTTGTGTAATGATTTAAACAATAACAAAAAATAAAGTATTTTACAACAAGTAAATGTTAAAAGACAATAAAAATGATATCTTTTGTGTTAAAATACTTTTAAGGCATCAACATGTTTATTTTATTATGAATAGCATTAAAGATGACATGAACAATATGTTCATGTCATCCCTATATGTCACTATCATCTATCATATCACTATACATCTCTATCATATCTATACATTTATACATTACTATCATATCTATACTTCACTATCATATCATATCTATACGCTATACATCACTATCATATCACTATACATCACTATCATATATAATTAAGTAATTATACAATAAATAAATCATAAAAGATTAACTGTACTCAATGTAGATAAAGCCAAAAGTAAAAAAAAGATTTAAAAAACAAAAAATACATAGTTTTCGCCTACAAATAGTTGTTTAAAAAAAACACAGTTGTTTAAAAAAAAAGTTTTCAAACTTACCAACCATAAATGGTGACAAAGCTGAAGGTAAAAAAATTAACCAAAATAACTTTGATTTTGGTATTAACTCTATACTGAGCTCAAAATTTTTTTTTTTTCAAACTTACTGTGGCATTGCCACTGGCAGATGTTGATAAAACTAAAAGAAAGATAAGATGGCGTCATCAAATAAAATAAAAAAGGTATTAAACTTATAGTAAAAAGGTATTAAACTTATAGCTTTAAAGAATAAGAGTATAAACACCAAATAAAAAAATAGTTATTTAATTCAAATACATTTATTTTCAAATACATTTAATTTAAATCAACTACATCAGATGGCGATGAAACTAAAGTTAAAAAAGGTGTAATATAAAAAAAAACACTTTTTTGGCAACAAATCCAATAAAACAATTTTGTAATGAACAAAGAAAAGTAATGGTGTAAATAAAAAATAAAATAAAGGCGTAAATACCGAAAATTAGGTGTTACTTAAAAAAAAGTCTTGAATTAGTTTAATCTAGTCGATGATTTTTAAAAGTTTATCAAAAAAATACTCTTGTAAATGTAATAAAATATAGAATTACTATAAAAAAACATATTAACTTACTATCTGTTTGATTACCCAATTCATTTATATCATTCATTTTTTAAATTACTTACAATCTAAATGAAACAATATGCAATAAATGTTTTTTTAGAAAAAAAAACCATTTTTCCCCGGCCCCACCTCGACTATTTTTGAAAACAGACACTAGGTACCAAAAATGTTTAACTGATTTAACTAATTGCTACCCAGCCAACATTTTGATGTGGGACCCGTAAGGGATGTCAAATGGGACCCGTACGGGATTTGGCCGCGGGATCTATATGGGTACCATACGGGCCAAATTTAAAAAAAAAAAAAATTATTGGCGGCTTTTTTTTTTTCCACTATTTACCCCAGAATTTTTCCGTATATATTTGTTTTTAATTTTTTACTATGTAAAACTTAGATTTTTTATACTTTAAATCAACGACAATCTGTTTAGAGCATTTCTTTCCATTTTAAGCAAATTAAATGATTAATTTAATTATGATAATTTTTTATAAAATTTTAAAAAGCTAAATGTTTTATATGCAAATTGAAAACACAAGGACATGTATGTTTTATTATAAAAAATAAATTGTTATTACATATGTAATTAATATATACCAACTAAATCAAGAAGATATACTAACTAAATCAAATTATAATATTTTATAGTAGTATGTTGAGACTACCTAATGTCATACTTTTGAATAAAATATATTGCAAAATAGATTTACTCTTGTAACATTTCTTTTGCAATTTATTTCAACTAACATATGTTTAGGTCCTGCATAAAAAACTATAAAACAAAACAAAATTTATCAAAAATACTTTTTTCTGCATGATTTGGTAATACTCAAGATAAAGGCAAAGACGGCCGAAAAGAACGAAATTCAAATGCAGCATCAAACACAGAAAAGAACATAAAGATTGTACATAATGCAGCAGCAAACATGTAACCGTTTATTTAATGTAGGGGAGATAGAGGCGCATTGATCGCCGGGGCAGTATGATCTTTTAGCTTTTACTCGTTTACTTTTGCCTTAATTTAACAGAGATTGCAATTTAATTAACCATTATACTACCCTTCATTGCTTAATCGTAATAACTTTTGATAAGATCAACTTCAGCGTTAAGAAAATTGAAAAGACTGTTTTTCATCATGAAAAGTGATTTTTGAAAGTTGTAAACAAATTCAAATAAATTTTTAATTAAATTTCCGTATGACTTTACAACCAATTTATTGTAAACTCATATGTGTTAAGTTTATAATAAATTTGTTTTTTTGAGTTGGTTACTGTATTTATAGAAGTTATTGGCATCCATATATATCAACTGTACCTAATGGGGCACATTGATCGTTGACTATGCGAGACTCATTGATCGGAGGATCAAAGTGCCCCATATAACTTATATTATAAGACTTAAATTTTTTTGTTTAAATTTTATACATTTAAACTTATGACGAATAAAAAATCTTTATATAAACTTTTAAAATTTCATTTTTAAAATGGAATAGTGTTAAAAACTAATATTAATAACATTAGTTTTTAGTTTTACATAAGTTTTACAATTAGTTTACATAATATTATTATATAAAATAATTTTTTTAAACAATCATTTTATTTTACTTTTTTTTAAATTTTCAGATCTTTAAATGGTTAGGTATAGAAAAAAAAACAGACAGAGTTGCTATATCATGTGATACAATGAAATCAGCTGTTAATGAAGTTTTAGAGGGCAGACCAGTGAATGTTGTAGCTCGCAAGTTTAGCATAAATCGAATGACCTTAAAAAGATATTGTAATTAAAAGAAGCTCAACCCAAATGAATCTTTTAAGCCTAATTACAACAGTAAACAAGTTTTTACTGCAGAAGATAAAAAAAGTTTGTCAAGTTATTCACTACTTGCATCAAAAATGAACTATGGACTTTCAACTAATTTTGGAAATTCATGAAAATACTATTATGAAGATGTTTAATGATAGAATTGAAAAGCTTGAAAACAAATTAAACTCAGTAATTGACGAGAATAAGGAACTAAAAAAGGAATTAGGCGAACTTAATAAAGCTGTTGAATTTGTAAGTAATAATTATGATAAAATAGTTGCTGATCATCAAACATCAAAAACATCATTGATAAATGAATATGCAAATTCTAACATGATTAAAAAATTGGCTGAACTTGAAGACAAAAGTCGACGCAACAACTTAAGATTCTGTGGGATTGAAGAAGTTGAAAATGAAAGCTGGGAGGACAGTGAAAATAAAGTAAGAGAATTTTTAAATAATAAACTTCAGCTACACGGAAAATTTGAAATTGAAAGAGCACATCGAGTCGGAAAGAAACTACCTGAAAACAATAAAAAAAACAGATCGATCGTAGTCAGATTTCTTAACTACAAAGACAAAGCCACGATATTAAGAAAATACACGACGATGAAATTGTGGACTCAAAAGGTTTACATAAATGAAGATTATAGTGATCATACGATGGAATTGCGAAAAAAACTCCTGAATGAGGCAAAAGATTTAAGGGCAAAGGGTAAGTACGCTAAAGTTATATATAATAAATTAATCACACGGGATTTATAAAAGAAATTCTTTGATCTTATTTCGATTATGAAAAAACAAAAATAAAATGGATTCTAACGAAACCTTAAATTTTGAGTCTAGTTTTTATAATTTTTTTCAAACAAATGATTTCTTATTAGATGATGAATCTGATCCTGATCTTAATTATTTTTCTAATTCTGGTGCTTTGAAAAATAAATGCAACTACTTTTATACCCATGAAATTAAAGGATTTCTTGATCAAAATAATATTAACACAACTCACATTAATATCCGCAGTTTAAAAAAAAATTTTGAAATCTTTCGTAATTTTATTGAAGAAACTTGTAATCTATTTAATATAATTTGCTTAACAGAAACATGGTGCAGTTCGGATGACGTAAATTTTTTTACCAATTTTGAACTGCCGGGTTTTAATGTAATTTCATTAGCACGAAAAACAAATAAGCGTGGCGGAGGCGTTCTTATTTATGTTAAAAATAACTTACGATATTTTACCCGGCATGACATGAGCATCTCTGATGCTGATAAAGAGGTTTTAACGATTGAAATTTTAACCAATAAAATAAAAAATAAAATTCTAAGTTGTTGTTATCGCCCACCTTCAGGTGAAATTAAAAATTTTAATTCGTTTTTATGTAATGACGTTATTAAAAAAAGTAACCACGAAAATAAATTTATCTACTTAGTGGGTGATCTGAATTTAGATTGTTTTCAATACCACGTCAATAATAACATTAAAAGGTTTTATAATGGCATTTTTGAAAATGGTGCGATTCCCTTGATTAGCAAACCGACAAGAATTACTCAATCAAGTGCCTCTTTAATTGATAATATTTTAACCACTAATGTTTTTAACGAATCCTTAAAAAAGGGCATAATTAAAAATGACATATCTGATCATTTTCCTATTTTCATTTCTATAAATATAGATAATAAATTAGTTCCTAATGAAAAACGAGTTTTCAAAAAGCAATTTTTTACAAATGAAAACCTTAAATCTTTTAAGAAACAATTATCTCTAATTGATTGGAGCATTATTAACACCTCTGATGATATAAACTTAGTTTATAACTCCTTTTTTAAATCTTTCTATGATATTTATGAAACTAATTTCCCTGAAGTTAATTTAAATCTCAAAGCTAAAAGTATTAAATCGCCTTGGATTACAAAGGGTTTGCGGAAGTCTTCAAAAATTAAACAAAAATTATACATTAATTACTTAAAATCTAAAACAAATGAAAATAAAATTATATATAAAAATTACGCTAAACTTTTTGAAAGCCTCAAGAAAAAACAAAAAAAAAATTATTATTTAAATTTACTAAATAT